AACCCAGAGTTGAATGCATGTCATGCTTTAACATTCATCCCATAAGTACATCCCGTCAGTTCATTATAATACAGTGATCTGATAATTAAAAGATTCTTAACTAGGGCATTATTGTCATATAGTAGTTTGTTCTTGCTAGGTCTCCATAACTCCTTCCTATTTGCTTTCATGTGGTTCTTTATAAAGCCAATTTCAAATATGAAGTGTTGTGAAGTTGTCACGTAGAACTAATAAATGAACAAAAACTTGAGGAGGTGTATATTTGACTATCTAATGGAATGCCTTTATGCACAGTACCCATTATACCACATGGGCATTTAACCTTAGCCCCAAATCTCTTCAGTGTTACAAAACTCCCTGGGATGGGCAGGCGGCTTTGCACTGAAGGAAGGAAAAAAATAGGAGTTCACCAAACAAAGCACAACTGGCAGCAGAATACAATTCCATGGAACAGAAACCCATTGTGTGCTGTTCTTTAACTTTAAAATTCTAATTGGGCTACCCTAGGAGAAAGTGAATTATGCAAGTCAAAAACTTGAATAGTTTACCTCCTGGGAGGAGGAAATGGGTGGGAGAGAGAGGGGAAAAAACTGATTTCCTGAGTCAATTTCTTTTCTGGTTCTGGGGAAGGGCAATGGTGTTCAAGTTTGTATCTGTCAACTTGGCTTAACTTAGCAACTTGCAAAAAAGAAAGCCTATACAAATCTATTGAATTTACTCAGTACTAACTGGAGTGAGAACTAGTTCCAACTTCTCTATCAGATGGAGAGAAGAGGGGGTTGCACTTGAACTTCTTTATTGGCTCATTTTGATAATGCAATTAACCATACAGTGAACTTCTTACAAGGCACTTCATACTTATATTCTCACACAAATGCTTGCAAAAATATTAGAATGGCTAGTTTAAGTGTCTTTATACCCCATAACATGCAGAGATTTAGAGAACAGCTTTCCTCTGTCCAACATGTGAAATTCAGGTTAATTTTTGCATATAGTGGCAATATAACTCAGTAATGAGTTGCCATTTTAGTGTGAATGGAAGACTGAGAAAGCTTTGACATGGGCTGAAGCAAGCCAGAGTTTGGTTGGGAAAAGACTTGAAGCATGCAAAGACGAAGAAGATGGACAAGAATCAACAGAGTGAGAAATGTATGGTCTGGATTGTAAAAAGATCCTTATAAGCCTACCGAGGCAAGAACTGATTCCTGAACCAGCTGGTGGACAAGCCAGGAGAACCAGTCATAACATTAAGACCCTTTAGATCATAATCTTCTTGGTGCAGATACTAGGCCACAGAATGGGCAAAATATCACAAGTGGACGAGAGCATTTTTGTGAGAAAAGCAAACTTGTGAGAAAAGATTACAGTAAAACACAACAAGGTGGCAAAATTTCCATAATAATGATAACTTGTTCTAAATAATTCAAATAACGAATGAGAGAACGGGACATCTTCCCAAATATGCAACCAACAAGGACAGAAATAGACAGGAATGAAAATATATAAAAAGAACAGATAAACAACAATGTTGGAACTGACCAAAAATAAGAGATCATTCCTGCCTCTTTTTCTTCAGAAACTACTTAAGGTGCATGTGTTTGAGAACAAATAAATAGTATCACTAATGCCTTACATAGTAGATGCATCCTGGAACATTTACTTGGAACAGGGAACATCAATATTCCATTTATTCTAAGGAATCTTTCATATTAAGTGCTTTCCTGTCTAAGACAACAATAAAATAATGTAGCATCATATCTGTGTCTACAATGTAGATTTAATATTTAGTTGGTCCAATTTCCTCTTCTAATGATTCCACAGAGCAGACTTGGTCACCCTGCTTTATGTTCAGGATACAATCCATTATATAAACATGCAAAGCTTGTCTTTGGGCCAATACCACCAGTCTCTAAAATTGGCATTGTTGATTCTTGATGGAAAAAAATCACAGCACATCAGCAAAAACTTGGGATGAGAACCAAAGAACAAGATTTCTCTACAGTATACAGTAATTGTAACAGCTATCATGTTATTTCCAATAAACAAAACCAGCCATGAAACATTAGGCTTACCACAGATAATACAATCCAGAGTAAAATTGTGGCATATCTGGAAAATTAGAAATAAAACTATATGCACAGTGAATCATGAAGAAAGTAACCTAAAACAAAGACTATGTATTCCTTATGTTGCTTCCAAGCTATGGAATGAATTCCCTCAGGATCTGCACTCAGCACTTTCAGAAAGTAGTCAAATCCTTTTTCTTCAGCTATGCATTCAGTGAGCTAATTTAACAGTGATTTTAACTGTTTTTATGAGATTTTAAAGCATTTATGCTTGCTTGCTTTCTGTCTGCCTGTCTGTTATTTGAATGTCAAACCTTGGCAGAAATAATAAATAACAAATATGTGAGTTAGTGATATGGTCTTGGAATTAAGCATGTAGAAACTATTTATTTTATAGATGGGGATCATAGACACGGGGTGGTTGTCCTACTACACTTTTTGTTCTTAAAAATCACATAAGCTGAAGATAGAGCTAAACCTTTTCTTTCTTAATTTATTCACCTGAACAAAAGTCCATCCTGCTGGGACATTTTAATGAGAAACCAGTGATTGTTGATGACATAAGAGTTCACCAGAAACTGAATGAGTAGCAATGGGGGGTTTAGAACAAAATGCTATTACATCTGTTGAACTGCTGGTATGCTTATTAAAAGTAAAGGTATCGTTTTAGCGTATATTCCTCATTAGGAGGCATTTTACATAAATTTGCCCTTGCTGTGATCAAAGGTCTTAGATGAAAATTGGATGAATTTTCAGGAATTCTTAAAGCCACACTGGAAAAATAGAGATCATCTGGAGGTAATGAACATTAAATAAAGTAGACTGGTTCTGGCTAAGCTATATCCCAAAATGCACACAGAGTAAATTATTAAATAAATCAAAGTCAAGACACAGAATCAATTGAAAAACACACTTCCAGAGTGTATAGCTTAGGAGTGAAACATACAGAAAAACAGCAACATACTACACACATTTAGGCATTATGTGTTAAACCAAAATGTGAGTGAACCAAAGAAAAGTGTCCACTAAGCCAAACGTTTAGCTCCAATTAATGGATCTCAAGAATCTTTTTTTTTTTAAAGTAGATCTCATGACCCAAGTGTTTTCCTATGAGGAACAACCAAGAAATGAAGTAGACCCCATTATTAATATAAAGAATATCAAGGGGTCAGTACTGAAAGAGAACCCCAATTTCCCCAATACTTAAGAAGGTACTTCTTCATATTTTAATCATTGTCCTACCAGTTTATAGCCACAAATCACAAATTTATTCAAATAAATTTTGAAGACCTCTACATTACCAGCAAAAGCTTTTGAAGAAGGCCACATAATTAAGGGGTTGCAATGTGCTACCTATAGACACCATGGCATACATGCTGTCCCAGTAACATGATTCCCCCAGACATTAATAATTTTTTTTGAACATTTACATTTAAATGGCCAAGATTTGCTGAAAGAATATCAAAATTTTGAGAGTTTTAATAATCTCTAAAATCTTGGTTATTATCATCATCATAATCACCACCATCATCATTATCATTACTGTCACTTTGCACCTACACTGGTGCACCTATAATAATTTTATACCCCTTTAGTGTTCCCCAGATCATAGGCTGAAAATCTTTGGACTAAGTATTCCCACACCATATCTATCATTCAACTTATCACAAATAGTTTCAGTGGCTTTATATTATGGTAATGAACTATCCTTGTTAGAAGAAAATGAGGAATAAGATCTAATTGGATTTTTAAAGCACCTGCTAGATATCCAATAGATAGAAATTCAAATCCCCATTCTTCTTTAATATCAACATCTTTAGGGTTTACACTTTGGAATGAACAGGTTCTTTTAACCTGTACTTTACTTTTATGCGCACTATAACCCTAATCTCTTTTTAATAAAAGAAATATTTTGGATCTAAACATGGTGATTTTCATTGTGGCATGGAACTCCTTTTAAATTTATCACAGCAACTCACAAAAATTGACCATGAAGATAATCCATATGTAAATTATAACCCTTCTAAATTGTGTTGGCAGGAAAGGAAGCAAATTGGTACATCTCATCCTCTTTGATGGCAATCTATATTTAATCTTTTTGGTTGAAGGTTTCTAAAGAACTGGAAAAGTCACTTAACAATCTTTTACAACTAATTCTACTGTTGGTTTACTATACACTAAGGCAGATAAACTGATGTAACATCAGAAATGGATTCTGTTCCTGTGTTTTTTAACTGTTGTTAAAGTCTGTTACTGCAAAACACTAGGAAATTTTAATACACATTTCATTGGATCAGTTGAATGTAAAGGTATGGGAAACTGCTTTGGCATAAAAATTAACAAAACAAAGAACTATGAAAACCCAACATTTATTCAGATTTGATCAATTTTTCCTAGATATATTAACAATGTTTTTCCAGACAGATTACTTTGTCTGTACAAATGCAATTCTGGATAGAAATACTCAGTAAGTATGTTTAAATATTTGTATTTCTCAGCATGCTCACCTATGTGATAGATGATGGCGAGATTCTATAACATAGCTATGTTCTTAATATAAATAATTATGTGGAGCCAGCTGCACCCAGAATTCCCCATTCCATTTCTCCATACCAACGCTGTCAAGCAAACATGTATTGAAAGCACTAACATGAGCTAGTTTAAACTACAACTGTTATCAGAAGTTCATTTATGGTGGAACTCTAATCAGAAACATCCAGATATCAGCGCTTAATGTGAGAGGTAGTTCTTCAACAGAATTTCAGAGTACATACACCTCTCTGGCATATCTCTAAGGTTTGCACATTTAAAAACAACCTCAGCTGCCTACAACCACGGCCTAACAGCAGCACTTTGCTGTACAATTTGGACAACTGAATTGCATGCGTCAAAACAACAATATAATAAAAATGATACTGGCATGCAGGCTCTTACTTTAACTTCCACCGTCTTCCCATTGCGGTCAATATGCCTCTCAAGGTATTCTGAAGACAGTAGATCACTGAAACAATAGAAATATAGATATATATTAACATTATTTTCCACTATATGTGACTTTCCCTGTGCTAACCATCTGGCAAAAAGTAGCATTTGTAGAGTATAACACCCAATAGGAAGAATTTTTTTGCATATATATATATGTATACACGCACATGGCCACGGCCATCTTACCTGTCTCCTGAGAAATCTGTATGCGGGCCAAGAAGCAACAGTTAGAACTG